TGTTTATAATTTCCTCCTTCCTGCTGACTTTGGCTTAGTTTGTATTTGTTTTGTTAGTACCTTGAGCCATACATTTAGGTTGTTTAAGATCTTGTGTCCCCCACCCCCCCAGGTAAGCATTCCCCCTTAGAGCTTCTTTTGTTGCATCACATAATTTTTTGCTTGCTTTCTTTCTCTCCCTCTCCCTCTCCCTCTCCTCCCCCTCCCCTCCTCTCCTCTCCTGTCCCCATCCCCTTCCTTCCTTCCTTCCTTCCTTCCTTCCTTCCTTCCTTCCTCTCCCTCTCCCTCTCCCTCTCCCTCCCCTGCCCCTCTCCTTCCTCCTTTTCCCTCCCTCTCTCCCTCTTTCTTCTTTCCTTCTTTCTTTCCCACTGGGAGTGGAACCCAGGGCTTCATGTATTCTAGGCAAGTGCTCTACTACTGACGTACCCCTCTATTCCTTCGTCTCTATTACTTGATTTTCCTTTTCATTTCTCCTTTGACCCATTAGTTGTTTGGGACCATCTTGTTTAATTTCCACATGCTGGTGAATATTTCAATTTTCTTCTTGTAGTTCCTTATCATTGCATTTGGAAAAGCTACTTGCTGTCATTTAATGATTTCTCCTCTGAACTCTCTTCCATTGTTTCATACATGAGCTTTTGTGGGATACCTCATATCTAACCATACAGATATTTAATTACTCTAGCACCTTTTGCTGAGAAGACTTTCTTACACTGGATTGCCTTTGCATGTTTATCAAAAATCATCTGGTGCATGTTGAGGTCTTCTTGAGTTCTCCATTCTGTTCTTTTGATCTGTATTCCTGTCTGTCCCTCAACCACTGTCTCAATTAGTGTACCTATAAAATAAGTCTTAAGACTCGTTAGAGTGATTCTTCTCACTTCATTCTTTTTCAAGATTTTAAAAAGTTATTATAGGGCTTGTGCCTTTCTATACATATTTTAGAATAACTTTGTCTATTTCTAGTAAAAAATCTTTCTGGATTTTAATAGATCAGTTTGAAGAGAGCTGACTTTTTTTTTTAATATTTGGCAGAATTCTCCAGTGAAACTACCAAGGCCTAGAGATTTGTTTTTGAAAACTTCTGTTTCAACTATAGCTATAGGAATATTCAGGTTGTGTATTTCATCTACATTGAGTTTTTTCTTGTAGTAAACATATATAACATTAAGTCTTCCATTATAAGTATATATTTCAGTGCAACCATCATCACTATATGTTTCCAGAATTTTTCATCACCCCAATCATGAACTCTGTAACCATTTAAAAACAAACAAACAAAAATCCATGGACTGGGAGGTAGCTTAGCAGCAAAGTATTTGCCTTGCATTCACAGAGCCCTAAGTTTGATTCCCACTCCCCGCTCCCCCAAAGAAAGAAAGAAAGAAAGAAAAAATAATAATTCCACATTCCTTTTATTCCGATCCTCTGGTAACCTGTTTTACTTTCTGTCATTAAGCATCTTCCCATTCTAGGTACATGCAAAAGGACAAATATTGTATGATTCTACTTATGTGAAATACCTAGCTAACTTCACTTAACATAATATTTTCAGGGTTTGTCTGTCATAGCATGTATCAGCATTTCATTCTTTTAAGGCTGAATAATATTTCATTGTATATGCCATGTTTTGTTTAACCATTCATATGTTGATATAAACTTGGATTCTTTTTACTTTTTAAATGTTGTAAATAATGCTGCTATAAACATTGGTGTGCAAGTATCTGTTAGAGTCTCTACTTTGAGTTCATTTGTGTGTACACCTAGAAGTTGAATTGCTAGATCACATGGTAATTCTGTTTTTCATGTTTTAAGGAACTGCCAAAATGTTTTCCACATTGGCTGTACTATTTTATATTCCCATAAGCAACATACTAGGTTTCCAATTTCTTTTTTTTTAATATTTATTCTTAAGTTTTAGGTGGACACAATATCTTTATTTTACATTTATGTGGTGCTGAGGATCGAACCCAGTGCCTCTTGCATGCTAGGCGAGCACTTTACCACTGAGCCACAACCCTAGCCCCTAGGTTTCCAATTTCTTCATGTCTTCATCAGCACTTGTTATTCTTTATCTTTAATTTTTTAAAATTTTGATAATAGCTACCTTAATACATGTGAAGTGGGATCTCTTTGCATTTTTTTTTTTTTTTTGTGATACTGGGGATTGAACCCAGGGGCGCTTATCCACTGAGCCACATCCCCACCTCTTTTTATATTTTATTTAGAGACAGGGTCTCGCTAAGTTGCTAAGGCTGGCTTTAAACTCACAATTCCCCTGCCTCAGCCCCCCTAGCTGCTGGGATTACAGGCGTGCGCCACCGTGCCCAGCCTAATTGCAGTTTTGATTTGCATTTTTGGAATCTCTATTGATGCTGAGCATCTTTTCATGTGTTTATTATTATTTATTAATTATGTGTTATTAGGCATTTTAATGTCTTCTTAAAAGAGCTATCTAGTCAAATCCTTTTCCCATTTTTAAAATCATGTTGGTTGTTTTTTGTTGTTGTTGTTGAGTTGTAGAAGTTTCTTACATAGTATGGATACTAATACTTTGTTATGTGTATGATTTGTAAATATTTTCTTCCATTCTTGTGAGTAATCTTTCTACTATCTGAATAGTGTCCTTTGGATAAATTTAAAAAAATTTCATGATGACCAATTCCCCCCCGACTTTTTTTGCTTGCTGTACTTGTAGTATCATGTTCAGGAAGTCATCACCAAAACTAATGTCATGAAAAATTTCCCATTTGTTTTCTTGTAAGATTTTTTTAGCTGTTATATTTAGTCTTTGATCCTTTGAATTATTATTATTACTATTATTTGCAATGCTGAGGATTAAACCCAGAGGTGCTCTATCACTGACCTGCCTCTCTAGTCCTTTTCTTCTTCTTCTTTTTTTTTTTTTTATTTTGAGGCAGGGTTTTGCTAAGTTGCTGAGACTGGCCTCAAACTTGTGATCTTCCTACCTCAGTTTCCCAAGTACCAGGGATTACAGGTGTGTGCCACCATGTCCAGCTTGAATTAATTTTTCTATATGTTGGAACTTCATTCCTCATTCTTTTGCATGTGATGTCCAATCCCAGAACCATTTGTTGAAGACGGTCCTTTACTTATTGAATGAATGGTCTTCGCATCCTTGTTGTAAATGTGTTAATAATATATGGTAGGGTTTATTTGGGGGCACTTTGTTCTCTTGCATTGGTCTGTGACAGTTCTTATATGTCTATACCATGCTGTTTTGATAGCTACAACTTTGTAGTGAGTTTTGAGATCAGGAACTGTGATTCTACCAACTATGTTCTCCTTTTTCTAGACTGTTCTTGACTATTTAGAATTCTTTGAGATTCCATATGGATTTTAGGATGGATTTGTCTTTGTCTGCAAAAAAAATGCCATTGGAATTTTAAGAGAAATTGCACTAAATTCATAGCTCATCTTGGGCAGTATGGTCATTTTAACAATATTAGTTTTCTGATCCATGAATATGGGATTTAATTGTGTTTTGATAGTTGGTAGTTTTTGTGACATTGGTACATTTTTCCAAATTGTCAAATACATGACCATAAAGTTGTTCATAGCATTCCATTTTCCTTTTTAATGGCTACAGTTTGTCATCAGAGTTTATTTCATTTTTCAGGTTGATGTGTTTTCTCTTCTTATAGTTATTAGTAAGACTATAGGTTTATCACTTAAATTTACTTTTTCAAATAACAACATTTTGGTTCATGACTTTCTATAAGTTTCCTATTTTCAATTTCATTGATTTCTTCTCTTGTGTTTACTATTTCTGTCTGCTTGCTTTGCTTTTGTTTTTCTAGTATCTCAGGTTAAGAACTTGGGTTATTGATCTTCATCTCTAATTTAAGCATTTAGTGCTATAAACTTCCCTCTGAATATTTTTTAGCTGCATCCTCTATATTTTGATATGTTGTATTTTCATTTTCCCATAGTTCTCTGTATTTCTAAATTTCTCCTTGAGTCATTTTTTTGGCTTTTATTTTATTTAGAAGTATGCTGTTTAACTTCCAGTATTTGTAGATTGTCTTCTCTTTTTTTTTTCCTTTTTCTTCTTTGTATCTAGTTTGGATTCATATTATCAGAGATACCTCTCTGTATAACTTTAATACTTTTTGTTTGTTGAGATTTTTATTTACATATTTAGAAAGGGTCTTACTAAGTTGCCCAGACTGACCTCAAACTTGGATTTTCCTGTCTCAACCTCCTGAGTAGCTGGAATTGCAGGCATGTACCACCACACCCACCGGAGGACCACATTTAATCTGCCAACTCATTGATGCTTTTTCCCCCCACAAACATTGCTATTTCTCTCTGGTTGCTTGCTCTGGATGGCTCTGTCAGTGCCTTTCTCCACTATTACCTTCAATAACAGGAACAATTATGGCCTTCTCTTCTAAAGTGCAAGAGAAGAGAATGTTGGAAAATGCCATGCTGTGGAATTGATGTGAAAGAAGTCCATATTTTTAAAGGACCTGGTTGCATCCAGAGACCTAATATTTCAGTAGTAACCACACTTGTATAAAATTGTATGTATATGTCGTAACCACTTTTAATTAATAAGACACTTCCATACTTCACAGGGAATGTTATATTGGTCTATCCATGGCAGTTGTCTTTGGTTCAGGTCTGGGTGGCATTGGTGGAAACCAGGGTGAGGAGCTCTCAGGGATCATGCTCAAATCTAGAACTTCCTGGCCATGCAGTCATCTCCAGTAGATCTGAGCTACAGTCCCAGCTCTCTCACCCACCTGGTCAGATGTGGGACTACAGTCATCTCCCAGTCCCCCCTTCCCCTGAAGAAAAGTGAGCAGAATCCACCATTTCTAAACACCTTCCGTCTCTTTGGCATTCATCTCAATATGATTGTTTGGAGGTCTGAAGGTCCAAGGCAAGGGTACTCTATTGATGTTGTGACCCTCCCAAGGTATAGAGTAGTTGTATAAATGTGTGTTCCTTACTGTCCTCCCTCCCCCTTCTAGGGAGATGGGACCACCTCACCACCACCACAACCAGGAGGCCAGGAACAACCAGAGCTCCAGCAGGTTCTTCAGGTAACTGGCTGCCCTGAGGAGGGCAGTAAGGAGGGCCTTAGGGAGCCCCTTCAAAGATACTGTCCAAATGACCTGCTTATAGTTTAACCAGAAGACTGTATTCTTGTCTTTTGGGGCCTCCTGAAGTAAATGATTTCGACTTGGCTGATGCCTTGGATGATCGAAATGATCCAGATGATAGCCGCAGGAAACCAAATGTAGCAGGAGGAGGTAAGTTCCAGCTGACTGAAACCATAGGCCAGCCCCTGTTTCCAACCCTGGAACAGTAGGTCGTATCTATCAGTATTTACCATCTGAGTCCTTAAAGCTGAAATTGAACATGACCAACACGAGTCCTACACGTTAACATAAATAGCATATTTTAATGAGAAGTAACTATATTTGGCAAGAAAAAAAAACACCACTTAGTGAGAATAGTGGCATTATTTTACATTTTTGCAAATTTCTCTAATATCTGGCTTGATAGGAGACAACTGGATTCTCAAATGTAAATTTCAATTTAGTTGTGATATGTTGTGGGTGAAATACATGAAGAAAATCTAGCCTCATACAGAGAGGTAGCTGGAAAAAGGAAAACATCTTTATAGACTTTTCCACGTCAATATGGACATTCTTCTTCAGTAGCATACCAAAACTCAACTAATAGTTGTTTATAGGTTAAGCACATTGTGGGAAACGTATCTGTGAGCTTTCCTCCCTCTGTTCCATTGAATCCCATGGGACTCTCTTGCCCTCTTAGTGGATCTTTTACCTATATGTGGTTTTGTGGCATTGCACATTGGTGTCACTTGGAAAACATTAATATTCTAAGATTTTTCCAGTTTCAAATAATGCCACACTTCATTATGCAAAACCCAAAGTCACATTTGTTAATATCACCACCTATGTCATTAGAAAAGGTCTTTGAGTATTGGGAAGCTATTAAATCACAGTGATGGATATAGGTTTTTGAGAATCCTAAGTTTTAGTTGAAATCATATTCTTGGCAATAAATACCATTAGTGGCCTTCCTGAATTGTTGAACTCATTTCATTGATTTTCAAGAAAACATCAACTTGGTATAACTATAGTTGGTCCATCATTCATTCTATCCAATAAAAGTGGTCTCCTGTGACCCAAAGCAGCTAAGACCTTAGAATTGGAGCAGTCACACAGCTGCCTTTGAGAGAACTATAGTTCTTCAAGTGCAACAGAAATGCCATAAGCATACTTTCCATTTCATCATGGAATATTCAAAGAGGTGTACTCAGTGGTTGAACTATATGTAATTAATAACTGTTCTGCTTCCTGTATTGGTTTTCTATTACTCCCATCACGAATTTTCAGAAACGTAGTTTTTTTTTTTTTTTTTTTTTTTTTTTTAAAAAAAAAAAAAGAAATAGCGAATGAAGATAATGCCCATTTGCCATCTTGAAATTTCCTTTAGTCAGTTATGAGGCTGAGCTTTCTGTTCAGGGTTTCATAGAACTCTAATCAGGGTGTTGACCAGGGCTGGGGTCTCAAATTCCAAGCTCATGTGGTTGCTAACAGTACATTTCCTTTCAGCTATTTGCTTCTTCAGGACCAGCAGGAGAAAGGCAGAGAGAGAGAGGGTTGAGAGGGAGAAGAGAGAGAAAGACTTGCATTTTTGCTTCTGATGTCTGAACTTGAGGGAAGATAAAACCTGCATTTAAGGGGTCACCTGATTAAGTCAGGCTCACCCAGTGTAATTTTCCTTTTGATTACTGTATCTTAATTAGGTTTGCAAAATCCCTTTACCTTTGCAATGTAATATGACCTATGACCTAATCAAGGGAATGATATCCATCCACTTCATAGTCCCACTCACATTTGAAAAGACTGGCTGTTATGCAGGGCATGTACACACCAGCAGTGGGAAGTCTTGGGGCCCTCTTGGAATTTTGTCTACCATCTTCATCAAGGGATTTTTTGTGTGGTTCTGGGGATTCAACCCAGGACCTTGCACATACTAGGCAAGTACTAGTCCACTAGTCCATGCCCCCAGTGCCATCAAGGACATTCTCAAGTGGAACTGGCAGCATTTTCTATTAATATTAATTAATGTTAACTAATATGAGTTTCTTGTTGCTAAAAGTGTTTTGTCATTGAAATGTATATTTTATTTTTTTCTAGGTTTTTCAGACAAGGATCTTGAAGACATATTAGGAGGTGGTGAATACAAACCTGATAAGAATAAAGGTAGTAGTGTTGATTTGTTCAACTGTGTTCCTATTCTGGTTAAAAAGGTGCTTATGCAGCAACCAGGCTAATTGAGCCATTCTTACTCAGCTTCTGGGAAATGAGAGATAGTACCCAGATACCCCAGCTTGCAAATTGGAGTTCCCTTGCAGTGACATGGGCCATGAAACTCAAAGTTGCCTGTAAAAGTCACTTTGGAAAAGCTACACATTTCTCCTGCTGCCCTTTGAGCCAAGGTGCCTCCTGGACTGACGTTTCCATGCTAGCAGTAGCCTGTTTGTGAGGCAGTGCTGAGTGAAGAATGACCAAGGGCAGAACACACTCCAGAATGGCCTTCCCCAGAGAAAGCCTGCCCCTCCTGCTGTGCTTGAACAAAGGCTCATCCTGATGCATTTTTTTTAAAGGCTCCTAGCAAGTCACATATCTTTTTAAATACCTTTAGTGAAATAGCTTAAGACTCACAGGCAGTTGTAACACTACTTCAGGGAAATCCCTCCTTGTGCCCTTTCCCCCCTGAGGATAGGGTCATACAGAACCCAAGAACATTGTCCAAACCAGGAAACTGACATCTGTGCAATACTGTGAAGTCATGGACATACCTTGTTCAGATTTCCTGTGTGTGCATGTGTGTGTGTGTGTGTGTGTGTGTGTATCTGTGAAATTTTATCATGTGAATATTTGAGTCACTATCACCACAATGAGGAGGCAGAATGGTTCCATCATATTATCCCTGAATAGTCATCACACCCTCCCCAAGGCACTATATTTTTCATCCCCCGCACAACTACCAATGATTTAAACCTTTTATCATAGTGTATATCAAATCTGATGCTAAGTATGGGGGGGGGGGTGTCAGCCAGACTTGTTAATGTGGTGAAACAACTTAGTGTTATGACTTGTAGCTGTAACTTGCTATGTCTGTAACTTGTGGTTGTAATGTGTTGCGGCAGAAACTTGTGATCACATGTTAGGATGGTGAGTGGAGTAGGTTGTTAACACTTTGGTTATAACTCATTGTGATGGCATGCTGTAGTAACAGGCTAGGGGTGTGACAAGTTATGGGTGTAGCTGTAACCCTGAGATGCCTCACAGTCCTGACTGTGGTACTGACATTTGCTTCTTTCTTGCAAGAACAGTGTGTCTTTCATATGGGAGCATTGTTCTTTCGTGATTCAGGTACTATATTCAGAATTATCTTCAGAAATCCCTTTCCAGACAGTGTCATCTCTAGAAAAAACCCCTAAGAGCCTCTAAATGAAACTCAAAGGTGTCAGGAGAACATGGAACATTTAAAGGGCAAACCCAGCAAATTAGCCAATTACTTCTGGGTGACAAATGGTATTTCCAGATGGGGAGATGAGGGCAGTAGTTGTGTGTGTAAGCATGCATGTGAGGGAAGGTCTGAATGGCATGTCAGGGGCTTTTCCTTATTAAAAGTACTTGTTTTAGCAAGGAAGAAGTGTAAGGAAATTCTTTAATTAGGTTCACATTGGAACTTCTCTTGTAACGAATAATCAATTGTTAGCTTCAGTTATATCCTCTGTCATTATGGGTATCAGTAAAAGAAGATCAAGGGGTCCCACCAGAAAGGACAAGTGTGAAACTGAAACATGATTATGACAAGTACACAATTATCTTCTCAGACACTATCCTTTACACAAAAACATGTTCATGCTGGGAGCAAAGGTAAAGCATCACATTTAAATAAATTATAAACTTCAGCATAAAGAGAACATCTGTTAATGCATTTCCAGCCTCATGTCCTAGGGAATAGATTCAGCTATACTTTAGTGTGTTTGTGAAACAATATATTATCTGTTATGTATTTTTTTCCTCATGAAACCTTTTCCCTGGCCCTTTAGGAGGCCCATATTTCATCTGGGTGAAAATGCCAGTCTTTTGTCAATAGGTCCTCTTACGTTGCCTAAGAGGGTGAACCCTCCCCCTCCCCCTTCACTCCCTCCCTGCCTAGTCTGGACTGGGATTTTTCCCCATTTTAATCAATAGCTTCTTTGGTATTCCCCTGTCATTTGTATCTGAGTGCATGTAAGAAGCTTCTCCCATTGTGTTTCCTAGTGACATACTGATGGTTTCAGCTTTATGTCATGTGTGACCTAGGTTCTTTGCCTGTAGCTGGTTACCCTCTCTCTGTTTCCTCACATGGAGATCAGAAGGAGGATACAAGCTCTGTCATGTCTTCTTATAAGGCCCTAACCCCATCATGAGAGGTCTATGCTCAGGACCTAATAACCACCCAAAGACCCCACCTCCTAACAGCATCACAGTGGATGTCAAGACTTTGGCATATGAATTTGTGAGGGGTATACAAACACGTGACACACAGCACTAAGTATGCACACATAGCTATGATTATTTTTAGGCTTAATCGTCTGTAGTTATATTAACCTAAACATTACTTCATACTTATATCTACTTGAATCTAGTGCCAAAAGGCTTATTTTGGTATTGCTTGCTTGCTTATCTGTAACTTGCCTCTCTGATGGTGAGAACCTGACTTCTACCATCTGTCATCCTGCTCCTTTCTTGCTTAGTTCAGCTATGCCTGTATATCAGTATAAGAATTCTCAGCCCATACCCCTTTGTTTCCCAGTTACTTAGACCATCTCCTCCACCCCTGTGCATTCAGTATGGTTTTGCCATATGTTTATAATGGGTTAAATTCATTTGTCACTGTTGACATTCCATCCTGGGATTCCTCCACCTACTTAGTTCATGTTTTGTTTTGTTCTATTGTAAGTTCTTCTACACATTCCCTCTATAATCCTCAGTTATTCCTGCCTCCTTCAAGTCTTATCTGTCTTCTATTATTGTAACCACTGATTTGTTCACCATCTCTACAGCTGTTTCTTTTCCAACATGCTGTGTCATTGCAATTGTATAGGATATAGCCTTTTCTGACTGGCTTCTTTCACTTAGCAGTATGCATGTAAAGTTCATCCATATCTTTTCATAGCTTGTTTCATTTTAGTACTGAATAACAACCCATAGTAGAGATATACCACTATTTACCCATTCACCTGTTGAAAGATACCTTGGTAGCCTCCAGCTGTTGGTGAATATGAATCAAGGTGCTTTAAACATTTACCCTACAGATTTTTGTGCAGGCGTAGGTTTTCACCTTACTTGGATAAATAGCTTAGGTGCGTGCTTGCTGGTTCATATGGCAAGTCTATGTTTAACTTTGCAAGAAACTGCCAAGCTGTCCTCTAAAGTGACAGTACTACTGTGCATTCCCACCAGCAATGAATGAGAGTTCCTGTTGCTTCACATCTTTGTCAGTGATTGGTATTGTCAGTTTCTTTCTTTTTTTTTTTTTTAATTCAGACATTCTAATAGGTGTGTATTGGTTTCTGGTGGTTTTCTTTTGCATCCCCTTACTGAAGGCAGAACCTCACACATACCAGGCAAATGTTTCACCACTGAATTACACCCCAAACCATTGTTTATTTCTTATTTTATATTCTCTGGTGAAATTTGTTCATATTTTTCCCCAATTTAAAATTTGAGTGGTTTGCATTCTTATTGTTGACATTTAATGAGCTCTTTATATAATCTGGATACAAATATTATATATATGATTCTGCAAATATTTTTTCCCAGTCTGTGGTTTGTCTTTTCCTTTTCGCTCTAGGGTTGTTTGTAGAATAAAGATACTAGTAATTTTATAAAGTTCAACTCATTCATTTTTTTTCTTTTATAGATTATGCTTTGGTGACCTTTCCCTAAGTCTTCCAAGAGTTTTACAGTTTTAGCCTTACATTTAGGACTTTTCTCCATTTTGAGTTCATTTATCTATGGTGTGAGATTAGGACATGATTTTTTCTTTGACATGTGGATATTCAGTTGCCTTAGCACTGTTTGTTGACAAGGCTATTGTCGCGATGGAGAAAGGTGTGACTATGTAGTCGAGGGGAGAAATAAAGAATGTCCACACACTAATGCCCTTTTCAGTGCTTTATTCACTCAAATTACTCAATAAAATTTCACTCTATAGGTTCTTAATCAAGAAAATGACAATCCTTAATGCTGGGCACTGCAACAGACATAATCAATACACAGCAAACAATTCTAGATTAATTCTAAGCACAGCAAACACACTTAGTCATGACAGGCTCATGACAATTCCCTCTGCATGCTAAGCTCAAGTGCCAGATCTAAAGTCTCAAGCCTTAGGCTTTAAGTCGGGTAGATGTCCACTCACTCAGACCATAGTGATCAGATCAGGAACCAAGGCAGGCTTCTCCTGGGGTGGAGCTGATGGCCCGCTGGGGAGAGGGTCGTAGGGAGAAGTTGTGACTCTCACCAGGGTCAAGATGTAGCTGTAGAGTTTGACAGCAGTGAGGACAACGCAGAGGCAAATGATGAGAAGAGTTGGGGTGTCAGTCCAGGTCCTCATCAGGCTCTCCAGCGTGAGGGCATCAGTGTTAGCTGGATGAAGTCTGTTCATTTGCTCCATCATTTATGCTAAGTCTGGGGGCTTCTACCCACCCTTTGAATCCCTATCAGCCATTACTGCGTTTCTCAGTGACGTCTTTCATTCTGGGGTCAGGACATCTGGTCTAGTGGTTTCCACCCTGATCTCTTGCCTCTGACTTTATCAGGGCAAAGGCAAATGACAAGTGACTTCACTCTGAGTTTTGTCAGGGTTGTGAAAAGTGACTTTATTTTATCAGGCTATGCCTGATAACAATATTGGAGGGCTCTGTAGGCGTGCCTGGTGGGGACTGTAGTTTTATTTTAAAATGGTGTTAGGCTAAGGCCCTTCTTAGGTTAAGGCCATCCTTACAGCTATCCTTTCCTCCTTTGAATCATCTTGGCTCCTTGGTTGAAAGCCAGTTGACATAAATGTAAGTGTTCATGTGTAGAATCTTAGTTCTGCTCTAGTATCTCTATGGTTGTCCTTCATCCTGTACTAGACTCTGCTGGGCCTATATTTAGCTTCAGGATGACTAGGAATATGTAAAGAGTTTTTTAAGCTC